TGGAAACTTTGTCAGCGTGTGACTTCACTGTGACATTTCCTGTTTCTCCCGGCGTCAGAGCGCAGACAGCGGTGGTTTGGTCGCGAGCTGTTTCGTGTTCCCCCGGTTTGTCTGGGCATCACCGTCATCATCACCCGTGTCTTCATGAAGAAGCCAAAAGTCGGAGGATTCGAACCCGAGTGCAGTGGGCCCCCCAGTGGGGCGCGCTCAAGTTGGAGCCCCAGGAGGAGAGGGAGGGACACCCCGCCCTGGGGGCGTGTCCGGGCGCAGCGGGAGGACGGGGCGGGGCCTCTGCCGGGTCTTCCGGCTCCTCCCAACTGTGTGGCAGTGCAGTGCGTTTTGAGACAGCCTGGCCCCGGGCCAAGTGAATGGTGGCGCTTTGTTCGGCATTTCGGTCTGCTCGCTTGGCTCCAGGAGACCCACTGGGCGCCCAGGCGCTCCCGGGGAGAAGCTCCCGCAGAAGAGACGCTGTAATTGCGTCGTCCACTAACGGCGGGCGCCTTGTGGAGGGCAGTCCGCGTCCAGACTGCTCTGGGCTTCCCGCTGCCATCCGCACGGCCTGCAGGACCCGCGCGGGCTGCGGCGGGAGTGAAACTACCGCGCCCGGCTCCGCCGCTGCCCCGGAGCGGGGCTCGCTCCGGTGTCGGCGCTCCCCTCCCCGGACTTTGCCGCTGCTGCTCGTCGGGGCGCAGGTGGGTGCGGGGCGCTCGGGGAGGGCAGACCCCGACGGCGGGGCGGTTGTCGCCCGGGGCTGGAAGACACCGCGGGCAACTGGCGAGCTCCGAGCGGGGGTGCGGGGCGGGGGGCTGGGGGAGGAGACCAGCGTGTTGTGTTACGACCCCCGCGCACCCGCGCACTGGGGTCCCAGCGGCTCAGGGGTGGGAGTTCTCCCGGCGCGCGGGCGGCCCGTTCCCACTCCCGCGGGCACCCCAGATTCTCCACGGGAGAGCCGGGGGAGGGCGTGGGGAACACAAGGCCGAGGTCACTGGTGGTCCGGTTCCCAACACGCCGGGCAGGGACCGGTCCGCGGGGTGTGCGCCCCGCTGAAGGTCTCGCTGGCAAGGGCGACCCGAGGTGGGTCCCCATTTTTCCTGGGGAGACTGCAGACTGCCCACTTTCTGCCCGGCCCTCTGTGGAGCCAGGCGGGCGGAGTCCCTGACTGTCGCGGAAGTGTGAGTGAGCGAAACACCGCCACCTTCCGACCAGAGGCGGGTGGGGGGTGGGTAGCAGCGTTGTCTGCAATCCCCAGGGCGTGGGCGGGCGGGGTTGTGGGTGGGAAGGTGGGAGGAGCGGTGGTTTGCAGCCCCGGGCGTGTCGGTGGGACTGCAGGGGGAGGGGCAGGGGACCGGAGCCTGGAGCGTTTGTTGCCTCAGCCCTAGACACCCCTTCCGGAGATGGGCGGAGACTTTCTCTTAAGAAACCCCGTCTTTTATTTACTGAAAATCAACTCTGGCCTTACGGTACAGAGGCTGGTTTCTCTATGACCTGGGCTGCGCAGCTCACTGGCCCGGAAGCTACAGAGCGGCCCCCAGGGTAGTGGTGGCCAGGGTCTTCGTGGTGCACACTCAGCACCCCTCTTCCCGGAGCTGCACACGTCGGGAAGAGCCAAGGATGAGGCAGGTCCCCAGTCCCTGGGACACATGGACCAGGGAATTAGTCCAGAAGGTTCCAAGGAGTTGCTGCAGACAGGCTGCCAGGTGCTCTGGCACCTCCTCAGGCAGAGGCTGCAGGAACCAGGGAGGTCTGTGCCCTGGGCCACACCATCACCTCTGTGCGCCCCCCCTTCACAGGCTCCCTACGGGTGCAGAGTGTGAGACCTGGACGGGGTCTCAGAGTGCAGCCTGAGCGAGCCTGGGTCCTCCTTGGCCCACCGCCACCTGGAGCCCGCATCCCTGCTGTGTGCCGAGTGCCGGCAGGGTGAGTGGGCGCAGGGAGGCTGGGGGAGGCTCCTTCATTTCTGCAGCCCGCCCCACGTCAACCCGGCTGGTAGGAATCACCCCCAAGTGTGGGTGTCACAGGTGAACAGGGTGATGGGGCAGGCAGGACAAGTGTCTCCTAGGATGACATGGAGTCTGTGGTGAAAGGGTCCCCCTGAGGCCCCCGGCAATCAGAGCCGCTGTCTGAGAGAGTAAGACACACGGGTTCACCCCGAACCTCTGGGTGCCCCGCAGTCTGTGGAGGAGGATGGGGTCCCAGCACCTTCCCACCCAGTGCTCCCGCCACCAGGGCAGCGACCCTCCACCCAAAGTCCCCCTGCACTTGGGCAGGGGAGGGGCGAGGACTTAAATGTGAGCAGGAGTCAGGTTAGTTAGAAAGGTGGCAGACGCCCACCTAACACGACTGCCTCACTGAGGGAATAAAACGCAAGGAATTTCTAAATATATTTCAGGATTCCTTGTTGTCGTTCTGAGGAGAAGGCCATCGGCGTTTCAACAAGGACAGCCTGAGTCTGGGCTTGGCCGGGCAGTGGGGGACGGGGTGACAGTGTTGCTCCTGCCGACCCTGAGCTCAGTGTGTCCCCTATCGCATCCCCCCTCTTTGTCTCCTTTCTCGGTTCCTCCAGCCGTCAGGGCGCAGGCTGTCCGCTCTCTGGCTGACCTTGTTCCCGGGTGGTTTCTGCTTTCGGACACAACCGCAGGAGGGGCTGACAACACCTCCCTCTGGTTACCCGTCACTGCTGCACGGAAGTGCACCCGGTGTCCACGCTGTGTCCTGCGACCTCACTGCCTTCATTTGCACGTTCTCATGGGATTTCGTGGGTCCTCAAATGGTCCCTACGTAGCCCTGTCCCTGCCATCTGCGAGCAGTGCGAAGGCTCCTCCTCCCTCTGATGTGCTTGCTGTTTGTCTCTGTCTCGCGTGAGCGCTGTTGCTCGGACTCCCAGTGCTCTGGGGCGGGGGTTGGTGAGGGTGGGCGTCTGTCTCCCTCCTGATCGGAGAGGGGAGCTTTCGGCTTCTCACCGTTGTGTGTTGTGTCACGGTGTGTCCAGGAATTACGTTTGGTTGGTTGTTTTAAGATTTATTTTATTTCTGTTTAGAGAGAGGGAAAGGGAGGGAGAAGGAGGGAGAGAAAGATATTCGTGTGTGGTTGCCTGGTATGACCTTCCTACTGAGGACCTGGCCCACAACCCAAGATTGTACCCTGAGTGGGAATGAAACCAGCGACCCTTTGGTTCCCAACCCTGCTCTCAGTACACTGACCCCCCCACAAGCTAGGGGAAGGAATTATGTTTTTCATAACACATTTTTATTCATAATTATAACAAAATTGGATGCAATTTATACACAGTGCTCTTGTAGATTTCACTATAATGAACAGCATTAAATGTCAGTTTTTGTATTATTGCCAGTTTCTGTTTAAAAGCAATTCCTGCCAGTGTAATCTTTGGTGCTATGGATAAAACTTTTTCAGGGCATTTAGTATACAAGGAGTGACCCAACCAGAAACAGAAAAAAAAATAAATAAATAAACCAGCAGTTACCTTCTGGATGGCGTGCCTCTTGTAGTCCAGGCTTCCCACTAGGAGAGAAAGTTCTAGGAGCCCATCTGCATCCGTGACCAGCTGGCGTTGTTGTAAGAGGCTGCGTTGGGCTTTACTGAATTTGTTTGAGGACTCTCCCAGAGCACTGGCCCATTTCCTGACAGGTGACTTACCAGCCCACCTGCCCACCTCTGCTGAGTGTTCAGTAGTTGTTTTTTTTTTCAATAGTTTATTTTTTTAAGATTTTATTTATTTATTTTTAGAGAGGGAAGGGAGGGAGATAGAGAGAGAGAAACATCAGTGTGCGATTGCTGGGGGTCGTGGCCTGCAACCCAGGCATGTGCCCTGACTGGGAATCGAACCTGCAACGCTTTCGTTCGCAGCCCGAGCTCAACCCACTGAGCTATGCCAGCCAGGGCTGTGTTCAGCAGTTCTTGACCAAATCCCACGAGCCCCACCCTCCCTACACTCCCAATCTCACCCAGCGTGACTGTTTTTCTTTCCGGCATGAAAAGAGTCCACAAAGGGAAAGAAACATCCCGTAACACGTGACTCGTAAGACGTGAAACAAAACAGCAGAAGCTCTAAGAGGTGTCAGAGCCGCCGAGTCCAGACAGTGTTCAGGGCGGTGGAGGGCTGTCCCCACCGGTGTCCCCATCCAGGGGGGAGCATGTGAGGGTGACCGAAGGCTAAAGGTGTGAGAATAAAAACAGTTTTGATAAATAGATTCTGTTTTTCTGGGTCGCCCCTGTGTGCATGTGGCCAAATGCATCCACAGTTCACATTCACGTGAGACACAGGATGTAATTCCCATTCTGAGTTATTTAAATTTCATTCCTTTAGGTTTTAAGTTGGTGTGTGATAGGAGTAAAAACCAGTAAATATCCTTCAAAATATTGTGGAAATGTGTCCCCCACTCTGGAAGTTTTTAGTCTTTAAATCATTGAGATATTTTTATTATTATTTATTATTTTTAATTTTGTTCAAGTACAGTTCTCTCCATTTTCCCTGAATCACTGCCCCCCCAACCAAGCCATCCCCCTAAAACAGTCAGGTAATTTAAAGCACAGGGTGCAAAGTCCCTGGGCTTCTGCCTTGGGTGACAGGGGACCCTGTGGGAAGGGCTGCCCAGGAGGGAGGTGAGGGGGCGGGACGCGCTGGCTGCTGTGCGAAGCTCGGCCTGCAGGGGTCAGCAGCGGATGGAGACTCGGAGCAGAGGGGCCTGCCTTCCTCAGAGGGTGGTCTGGGGGTGCACCTGGCTGGGGAAGGGAAGTGTGGGCAAGTGGGGGGCTCCTGAGCAGGTTCCCACAGGACAGCCCGGTGCTCCCTGCTGGCGAGGGATAAGGTATCTGCATTACCGATCCATGTTTCATGGCTGATTTCCATGGAGGGATCCAAGGTGAAGAGACCCCCAGGGCACATTTGCAGAGGAGGCTCTGGGGTCCCCAGTGATGGCGGTGGTGCCGGGTCGGCCCTGGGCAGGCAGCCTCTCCACGTGGAATCCTCCTCCTCCTTCCAGGTGGTCCCTGCTGCCCAGCCCCTGCTGGCCTCTCTCTGTGCACAGCAGGTCAGGATGCGGGAGGTGCCTGGTGCCCCGTCTGCCTGCCCTCCCTGTGTGCCTCGCCGTGGTCCAGCTGCTCAGCCCCTGCTCAGGTAGGACCGGCTGTGCGTCTGTGTGTGTGCATCCTTTCCCTTCGGGCCCAGCCAGAACCCGGGACTCCGCCCACCCCTGCAAGGCCTGTCCACACCCGCACCTGTGTGAGGACTGAGTTCCCTGTCTAGCTGTCTGTCACCTCACCCTCCCTGCCTGGGTCACCCCCTGGCCCTCTGGCCCTGCTCACTCTGGACGGAGCCCCCCTTCTGATGACCAGCTGAGTTTGCTGTGGTCGGACCCCCCGAGCCCATCCTGGCCATGGTGGGTGAAGACGCAGACCTGCCCTGTCACCTGTCCCCGAATATGAGTGCTGAGAACATGGACCTGACGTGGCTGCGACCCAGCCGCAGGCAGGTAGTGCACGTGTACGCACACGGGCAGGAGAACACGTCGGCAGAGGAGTATCGAGGGAGAACTTCGATTTTACGAGAGGACATCACTGCGGGGAAGGCCGCTCTCCGGATTCACAAAGTCAGAGCCTCAGACAACGGAACCCTACCTGTGTTCTTTCCAAGATGGAGACTTCTATGCAAAATGCCCAGGTGGAGCTGCAGGTGGCAGGTGAGCCCTCAGGCTTGTTCCAGGCTCCTTTCTCTGGGCGGGGGCAGAGGCTGCAGACTCTACCCCAGAGCACGTGGGCTGCTCACCAGCATGGGTGCCCCCTCACCTCCATCTCTGCTCCTCTGAGGCCTGTGACACACCCAGGGGTCCCCCAGGGTGACTTCCTCCTGCACCCAGTACAGAGTCCCCCCATGCTGCCCACCAGTCTCAGCAGGGGGGTGGAGGTCCAGGACGGGAGGAAGGGTACCTCCCCGCAGTGGGTGGCAAACGGGTGTTTGGGTTCAGCATGTTCCAGACCAAGGCCGTGGGAACCCCAGTTGCCCGCTGCACTGGTCCAGGAGCCTGACCTATAGAGACAACTCCTGTGGGGCCCAGTTTCCCCGCTGACCCCCGGGAACACAGCTGCAGTTGCACAGGTTGTGTCCGTCCTCGGTGCAGCGAGGGGAGGACGCCCCCCTGGGGACCAGGGGACACCGGGTGTCTCAGAGAGGGGGCGTCAGGGAGGACTTTGGTGCGGTTCGGGGGAGGTGGAAGCAGCGCTGGGCTCTGGGTGGGACGCAGTCAGGATGGTGGGGGGTGTCACTGGTCACTCACTGCCGGCACAGGAAGGTGGGTCACTGCACACAGTTCCTGTTTCCTCTGTGCTGTCACCCACCCTTGAGTGGCCTTGACGTGGCCCTGACCCACCCCAGTGACAAAGCGCCTTGTCCGAGGTGCTGCCCCACGAACGTGCCCGTGTCCAGGCGTCAGGGCTGCAGTTCTCGTTCCCCGGACACAGCCCTGCCCTGTGGCTTCCAGTGCGGGGGTGCTGCTGGAGCAGGGGACGGTGCAGCCCCGGCCTGCTCCCCGCTACGGCCCCTCCTCAGCCTGCTGTCCCTTTCCTAGAGACCTCGGCTCCCCGACGGAGCCCCCCTGCAGGACTCTGTGTGTTCAGGTCCTCAGAGGGCTTCCTCCCCCCTCCGTGTCTTCAGGGGGTGGGGACAGGTGGCAGTAGCTCCCCTCTTCCTGGCCCCGTGTCCGCTGTCTTCCGTGGGAAAGGTCCTCCCCTCTGCACAGCCTCGCTGGGGACACTTCCGGGGGAGACCCTGCAAGGCGATCTGAGCAGCCTGGCAGTGAGGGCAGGGAAGGAGCCTCCCGAGGGGCCGTGCATATAAGTCCCTGCTCGGGCGGCTCCAGGACACGGTGTGTCTCCTCCTGCTCACAGGACAGCATGGCCCCCACAGGACAGGCAGAACAGACAGGGGCAGTGGCATGGGACCCACTTAGGCTAAGGGGCACCACCTGCATGCTTGCCCAGGGAGGCATGAGCAGCTGTGCCAGGGACCAGCCTGTCTGGGACAGGGGCAGAGGAGGCTGCAGCAGTCTCTGTGGGACTTGGGGAAGTAGCCTCTGCTCTGGCCCAGAGCCCCCTGGATCCAGCACGAGGGTCCAGCCAGAGTCAGGACCGTGGCCCCATCGGGCATCAGTCTCTGCTGCACAGCACACGCTGGGAGCAGCTCCTGGTGAGTCCCTGCTGGGCTGGTCAGTGTGTGCACCCTCTCCTGGTGAGGACACCCCACCAGTACAGAGGGCTCCCCCACGATTCAGCTCACTTCTCCTCCCCAGCGCTGGGCTCTGATCCCCACATGGTCATGAAGGGCTACGAGGCTGGAGGGATCTGTGTGAACTGCACGTCTGCCGGCTGGTACCCGCAGCCCCAGATCCAGTGGAGAGACGCCAGGGGACACAGCTTGCCCTCGGAGGCAGCATCTGAGGCTGCAGACCCCCAGGGCCTTTATGCAGCTTCAGCCTCTGTGATCCTGGAAGTCGGCTCTGGGGAGGGGGGTCTCCTGTGTCATCAGAAACCCTCTGCTGGGCCAGGAGAGGTCAGCCAGGCTTTCCATCGCAGGTGAGTGCCCGTGCCCCCTGCCCTGGTCTCCTGGGTGGTCCCTGGAGGAAGGTGTGGTTGTCTGCTGATGACCTGGGTCCCTGAGGGGCACAGAGCGGGAATGTGGGCTCCTTCCCCTGAACTGGTTCATGTCACAGACACCTTCTGAGCACTTCCTGCCACACACGGTGCCAGGCAGCGGGAAATGGGGGCAGATGGGAAACTTCAGCAAACACACCAGTAGGGGGAAACACAAACAACCCAAATCTCAGTGAAAGGGCTAATCTTCTTACTATGTAAAGGAACATGGTGGATAAAGGAGCAAAAACGGAAATCATCGGTTTCCAGGAAGGTAAAACTCCCAGGAGGGTGACAAATTTCCTTGGAACAGGGAACTATTTCCCCTGTGTATTTGGCAGCAGCAGGACAAACAAGGGTGGTGGGCGCCCTCTGGTGGCGGGCTGTGGGGAGACAGCCCCGTAGCCGTCTGTGCTCCCTGGTGTTGGATGGTGTTGCTGTGGGGGTCGGCCCCGTGCTGTGGGGGGCGCAGGGCCGTCTGCACCCGAACGGCTCACTGACTGATGCCAAACCCCACTTCTGGGGACCACCCCACGGGCCAGCCTGCAGCGGTGGGACGTGAGCGTGTGACCGGGTATTTTTAAACCAGTGATCCTGGGACAAAGGGCAGAGCCTCGGGAGTGCCCACCCGGAGGGACCCACTGAGCACTGCCCTGGGGGGAGACACGTGCCTGCGGGGCTGTGCTGGAGCGGGCAGGTCGCCAAGACACAGGACGGGACAGATACCTTGCTCACCAGCCACATAGGGGCCTGATTTCGCCATCACCAAGGTGAAATAATCCGCTTTTTAAAACTGAATGAAACCTGCGTGGCACTCACCCTGTGTCAGGCACTGCATAAGCACTAACTGAATGCTCTCACTGATCAGGATGCCAGCAACAGACGGTTATGTCATTAGCTCAAGGTCACAGCGCTGGTCGGGCAGGAGACCCGGGACTGGAACCCAGGCCCCCAGCCCCAGAGTCTGTTCTTCATCACCAGGCTCTGCTGACTGTGGGGGGCAGGTAGTCAGTGTCGGGGGTGCAGAGGGGACGTCAGTGACACTGTGTGTGCGTCCCTCGTGCTCCATCTGATCCCATGGGGGGAGACGCTTCAGGAAAACCGTCCCTGACTGTGGGACAGTTAGAGTCTGGGCGCTCTGGGGACAGACAGATCCCTTCAGGGGCTGACGCCACCCCTTCGCAGGCTCCTTCTTCAGGGACACACAACCTTGGATGGTGGTGCTCGTGGATCGTGCTGGGTATTGTGCTGGTGGTGGTGGTGGTGGTGGTGGCGGTGGTGTACTTGCTGTTGCGACACTGGAAAAGGAAGAAGGCGCCCGACTCAGGATGAGGGAGAGCGAGCACGAGGTGAGAAGGAAGCAGCAGGCAGAGCTGCAGGGTGGGGAAGTGCCCAAGGTGAGGCCCAGCTGCAGGAGGTCACGACCTCCTGCCCCGCCCACACCCACCCCTGCATCCTCCTCTGCATCCCCCTTATCGGGACTTCATTTTCTGTTTATTTCCAGAGACGCTGCAGGACCAGCTCGGTAAGCCCCCATCCGCGTCCCCAGCGTCCCCAGCGTGCGCAGCTCAGCCTTTGGGCGGCGTCCGCTCCCCACGGCCCCACTAGAGCCCGGAGCGGCCGTGCTGGGGAAGACCCACTCTGCTGGCCTAGACCTCGGGGTGCACAGCGCGACGCAGAGGGCACGGGGCTTGTACGGCTTCCCAGGACTGCAAAATGTCCTCCCCACCTCGGGGCTGAAAGACACAGAACTGACCATGTCCCGGATGTGGAGGCCACAAGTCTGATCCAGGTGTTAGGTCGGGGGTCAGGGGGCCGGTTTCGTCCCAAGGCCCTGGGGGCAGGTCCCCCGCCCCTGCGCTCACCTCATCTCGGGTGGCCAGCTCTCCCGGGTGCTCCTTGGTGAGCGCCCATCAGACAGCACCCGGCCTCAGTCCTCACCCGGCCTCTTCCCCGTGGGTCTGTCTCCTGATGATCCTCAGTGGGCACTGGACGTAGGGCCCACTCTCGTCCAGTACGGCTCCCTCGTCTGCAAAGGCCGCATTCCCAGGTCCCAGGGGTCTGGATGCAGCCCTGTCTTGCTGGGTTCAAACACAGCCCCCTGTCTCAGACTCCCTGCAGAGTTGGGGGCCACCCTGCACCTGACCCCCACGAAGTACTTTTCTCTGCTACCTCACGTCCCCCACCTGAGCTGCCAGACGAGGTGGCATTTTCTCCCAGAAGTGGTTGGGGAGGGCTGGGCTGCAGGCCCCTGCCACCAAAAGGTCACGGCTTTCTTCTTCAGTCACAGGGAGGCACCCAGCCCAGGGTGAGTCTACTGCCCCAGGATGCAGAGCGGGCCCACCAGGTGCCGGCGCGGACACCCAGACCACTGCTGGAGCAGCAGGGGCGCAGCCGTGCGGTCCCCTGAGGACTCTGAGGCCAGTGTCGAGCTGCAGGCGGTGGTGCCCGCAGGGAGGGCAGGGCCACCCCGAGCAGGCGCTGCAGACCCAGGTGCCTCTGGGGGGCAGATTACCCTACACACCTCACACCTGGTGAGGGGCATCTGGGCAGGTGTGACAGCAAGGACACCTGTGTCCGTGGCACACGTGCCGTGTGCGTGCAGGGCGTGCGCAGTGCCGCCCTGCGTGCTCCCTAACTTCCCGTCCGAGTTTCCCGGTGACGGAGACACAGCCCCACAGACCAGGCTGCTTAAAGGACAGAATGTTAGTGTCTCCCTGTGCTGGGGGCGGATGTTCAGGTTCCCGTGGCGTTGTCCCCGTGTGTGAGTCTGTGTCCCTAAAAGAGGACACTAGTCTTGTTGAGTTAGGGCCTCATCTGGACAGGTCCCACCTGCAGCGACCCAGTTTCCAGACAAGGCTGCACTGGTTTCTGGGCTTAGGACACCCACATCTTTGGGGACACAGTGCAGCCTGTAGACATCCCCACCACACCTGTTGCCCGAGGGAACGGTGGCTCCCCAGGGCCACCCAAGACCCAGGGACCGAGCTCTCCCAGGTCCCAGCGCTGGGAGGGCGCTGCCTGGAGGAGACCCGGCTCATGAGCACTGACCTCTCAGTCTCCAGCGCGCACCGCGGCCTCCGAGGTCTTGTGGCCCCAGCCCCTCCCGTGTGCTGTGTGTGTCATGAGGAGTGGGTAGGTTCTGAAGCCATGGGCGCTGGAGGCAAGGCGCACACACGGCGCCGCATGTCCCTGTGGGACGGACATAGGCGCCACGACCACCAGTGTCCGGAGCACACTCACTGTCCTCCTTCCATTGGGGCCTGAATGAGGCCGTGACAGCTGAGTAGGACCTGACGGGATGACCAGATATTCCCTACGTGACCCTCGGGAGAGGGACCCTTCAGGAAGGGGGACGGTGTGCGCAGGGTCTCAGAAGGATGGGGAGCCTGTCCGGCGTCCCAGTGCAGGCTGGTGTCCCTCCAGGGCAGGGCAGCAGGAAGCTCAGTGTTGCCCCCGGCCAGGCCGTGTCCTGGGGAGTGTGACCCGGAGGGCAGGTGGGCTGTGCGCTCTCTGCCCCTTCTGAGAGGCCGGGCCCCGTCCCCAGACACTGACTGGACAGCGGTGGAGGCCCCGCTGCCCCCCGCCGGCCCCGCCCACCCGAACTCCCTGCGGCTGTTTCCGCAGATTCCACTAGGAAGCCACCCCGGGAGTCTCCTGGAAAGTTTTATTCCTTTCTCTCGCAGGAATATGAAGAAAAGTTTGTTTTGAAGGACGGGTCCCCTGAGGGTAAGTCCCCTGAGGGTAAGTCCCCAAGGACTTCCCTTATAGTGACTGTCGAGGTGTGACGTCATGACCCAACGCCCTCCCTTCTGGGAAGCGGGGACCCTGGGCCCCCCAGGCAGCTCAGGGGACGTCCCGTGGGCATCAGACTCTCAGTCCGACACTCACTGCAGACATGAGGGCACACGGGCCTCCGTCCAGTGTCAGCTCTGGCTGTGAGGGCAGACGCAGGCGGCCCTGCGTTACTGTGCATCCACGGGTTTGAGCAGGAACGTGAGTGGCGGTAGGAAGGCCTGGGTGACCCAGGCCTGGTGAGGCCCCGGGGGCTGCGGCGCTGCTGTCAGTGGGACGGGGGTGAGGGTTTCCTGCGGCACCAGCAACAGGCCGCGTGCTGCTTGTACTCTCGTCCTCTGACAGCTCAGGGGGACCCTCCACGTGGCAGATCCAAAGGTCAGACAGTCGGGAGCCCAGCGAGGTTACAGACCTCGCCCCTGCTGCCCGCACAGCCGCTCTGGTCCCACGGGTCAGCAGGGGGCCGCCTCAGTGGACACCTCACCCCGGGGCTTCCCCCCTCGGGCCCCGCAGGCCCTCTGCCGGGCTCCTGGCTCCGTGTGAATGAGCGTCAGGCCTGTCAGGAGCCCGGCCGGGTCGTGTCCTACCGCGCTCTCCTGTCCCCCTGCCTGGTCCCTTCTGCGAGGGCAGCCTGGGCGCCCAGGGCCTCCTGCGGACCCTGGACCTGGTTGCCAGCTGGGACCCCCACAGCGCACAGCACACGCCACGCCTGCCTCCCAGGGACGAGGCCAAGTCTCCCTCCGTGATTTTTCTCTTTTCAGCCACGAACAGGATCTACTCCGAATGCGGGCAGGAGGTTCCCAAATCTACCTGGAGGATGTTCATGAGGTCCGAGGGACTGGAGGAGAACGACCTTGTCACCTGTGAGCACGGGGACCCGGGGACCCTGGCGGAGCAGCACCACAGGATGCTGCCGCGCTGGCAGAGCGAGCTGGGAGCACATCGCGTCCCCCTGCGGGCTCGTGGCGGCCCTCCGTGAGATGCAGCTGCGGGATCGTCTGGAGAATGTTAGCAACGAGCTGGTGCTGAAGGTATCTTAGGTCGTGAGGACGCAGAGC